ACAAATGCTTCCCCCCCCAACAGCAATCCGGGTCCTCATTTTACCCACCTCGGAAGGATGGAAGACTGAGTCAACCCTGAGCCGGTAAGATTTGAACAGCCGAACTGCAGAACTGCAGTCAGCTGAAGTAGCCTGCAGTGCTGCATTTAACCACTGCGCCACCTCGGCTCTTCACCCGAGTCAGCAAAATCAGGGGTAGAAACAAACCAAGCAGCTCATAATCAAACCCAGATCACCTGCGTTGAGGAGTAAAGTTGAAGACAAGGAGCCAGGTTGGAGTTGGAAGGCAGAGAGTCCGCATAAATACAGATGGTGTCAACATCCAGCTTGAGGATCCCAATAAAACTCCAGGTTCATTCGGTTCCCGGAAATCTTACTTTTTTTTTTAATATGCTGCATGGTAATGTCGAAGTAAAACTAACTCTGAGGTTCCCAAACATCACTTCATAGAATTAAAAAATAATTTCCCCAGACAACTCCTCCAACCTCTGGCATAGTCCATGTGAGCAGGTTCACTTTGTTATGGGAACCATCTGCTTCAACCTCACACCTGCTATGAGGTCCTTGGAAAGGTTTCAGGCTCTCACAGTCTTCAGCAGAATCATAGAAGTTTTGTTTCTCCATCTAATCCACTCGGAAGCCACACACACACACATACCCCTTAGTACTCTATGGCAAGTGGAAACGAAGAGACATGTAATTGCCTGTAGTTCATTCTTGACAGTCCTTGACTTACAACAGGAATTGGGACCAGAATTGCTAAGCAAAATGGTTTAAGTGAGTTGCACCTTATTTTGCAACCTTTTTTAAAAATCATAGTTGTTAAGCGAATCGCTGCAGCTGCTGAGTGAATCCAACTTCTCTCACTGACTTTGCTTTTCAGAAGCCAGTTGGAAGGTCGCAAATGGCAATCACGTGGCCCAAGGATTGGGTCTGCAACCGTTGTAAATATATGCTCATGGCGAAGGGCCCTGTGAGTTTTGGGATGCTACAATGGTTCAAAATGTAAGGAGCAGCTGAAAGTCATTTATTTCAGTGCTTTGAATGAAGATAGAACATTAAATAATAGAGTCGGAAGGGACCCTGGCGGTCTTCTAGTCCAACCCGCTGCTAACGATCACTAAACGAATGATTGTAAGTCAAGGACTACCTGCAGAGTAAAACAGCCAATTTTATGAGTATAGTCGTAAGTTCCAACAACAAGGAGGGTGCATTCGGAGCATAATCTATCACTATTTTACATACATTGAGAGCTGACACACCGGAAACAAATTCCTTGTGTGTCTAATCACCCTTGACTAATAAAGAATTCAGTTCTGTTCTGTTCTTTTTGTTCCATTCCATTCTATTCCATTCTCTTCTTCAGTTCTATTCTCATTCTCTTCTTCTATTTTAATTCTCTTCTCTTTTCTTCTCTTCTAATCTTCTGTTCTAATCTCATTCTCTTCTCTTCTACATTCTATTCTCCTTCTCTTCTCTTCTCCTCTCCCATTCCATTCCTCTGTTCTATTCTCATTCTCTTCTCTTCTACATTCTATTCTATTCTATTTATTCTATTCTATTCTATTCTCATTCTATTCTCATTCTATTCTCATTCTATTCTCAT